CCCCAAAACCCCAAAACCCCAAAACCCCATTTTTGAGCTGAAATCGAGGAATATTTTTGGCAAACATCAAGTATGAATCTTAAAATTCTTTAAAAAGTTCTTTATTTTTCTAGTTTTCGTCAGTATGTTCAGAGATTCTATCAAGATTAGCACCTCTCATTAAACTAGCAGTCCTATTCTGCATATCAGCATCATTGGATGGAGAGGAACGCAGAAGTGCCTGTGTGTCTGCTGCTGGCTTGGGAGTTGTCGTTGTCATGTATGATTGAAAAGAAGAAGCTATAGATTAGAACAGACTAAATTACCTCTCTTAATCTTGCTCATATCTCCACCGAATAGAGGTTTAAGTATTTTGTTATCTAATTTGCGGAACATTCTCTTTCACAGACCCTTCTTCTTATCCTTAAAAACAACGTCTGTAAGTCTTTCAATTTTGGAATCATGAGTTCCGGCTAATTCATCTTCATCTGTAACTTCTGCATCAAGTCCAATAAGTTTGGCAAAAGCACTCATGACTCCTCCCAATACAACAGTGGTCATGAGCACCATCATTAGAGTAGTAGAGACCATTTGATCTCTATGAGGAGCAATGCTAGGGCCAATCTCGAGACTTAAGGCAAAGGCTATTGCTCCTCTGATGAGTCCTGAGAACCAAATCAGAGTGAGCTGTTTTCAATCAATTTCAATAACACATCTTCTGAACAGTGCATAAATTGCAATTGACAAAAATACAGAAGCGAATCTGGCAAGTACTGCAGCAATAATAATCAAGAAGGTAAAGTTCAGAGAGAAGCTGGACGATTCTGTTGAAAAGATTGATAGTCCTAAGTATGTGAACAAGAAAGCTTCTGCTAAGAAAGCAATACTAGTAATCGACACTACACTTCCTACTTTAGAGCTTTTTGATACATTATGGTAAGTGTAGTGAGACATTATTACACCACAGAGGAACAAGGTCATGATACCTGAAAGGTTTAATAATTCTGCAAGCAAGTATGACATGTATCCAAACAGCATTATCAAGAATATCTCCAAAGTCGGGTGATGTCTTAATGATTTGATATTCTTTAAAATAAATGCAGAAATAAGACCAATTGCAATTCCAAGTCCTAGAGAGCTGAGAGTAAGAATAAAGAAGTCCTTAGTTGTCGCGAGTATTTCTTTGATACCGACTTCAACACCTCTTGTATCGATTATATCTTCATCTACATTCTCTTTGCCTTCCTCAATCATTTTTTCTACTGACTTAAAGATCAAAATAGCAACAGCATCATTTACCACTCCTTCTCCGAAAAGAATAGAGTTTAGTGTTGGAAACTCTGTTTCTTTCACAATAGCCAGTGCGGCTACAGAATCAGTTGCTCAGAGCACTGCTGAAAGTAAGAGTCATTCTGCAGTAGTCAGCCGCTGCGAGTGCCCTAGCGGGAACAGATAATCATTAAATATAATCACGAATGCACTCATTACTACCATTGAGATTAAAGTTCCAAGTAACCCAAACAGAGTGATGTACCCAATATTCTTGAAAAAGTTCTTTTCCTTCAGAGTGTACCCTGCTCCAAAAATAATAGGTGGAAGTACAAAGTAAAAGAAGCCTTCTCCGCTGAAAGAAATAGGCGAACTTCCTACAAACAGGAATATAATACCACTGATAGCTCCAAGAAGGATGGCTATGCCTGATTCATGAAGGAAATCAATCTTCTGCTCTTCAATGAGCTGTGCGACAAATATGTAAACAATCAGGAGCACTATGATCAAGATAACCTCGACTTCTAAATCAATATCTTCCTCTTCGCTCATATTTAATCAATAATATTATTAGAATAAGGGGTTTTGGGGTTTTGGGGTTTTGGGGTTTTGGGGTTTTGGGGTTTTGGGG